AGAGAGAGAGAGAGAGAGAGAGAGAGAGAGAGAGAGAGAGAGAGAGAGAGAGAGAGAGCGAGAGCAAGGAGGGAGATAGCGAGAAGGAAGTGGAGGAAAGTGGTAAAATGTGGTATCGCACAGGGTAATGTGGTAAGGAGAGATGGAGAGACAGGGAGGGAGGAGAAGAGCAAGAAAAAGAGGTCACGATAGCTGCTTTTTATTTAAAATATAGGTATATGAATACCATAAAATTCTTGAGAAGCTATATTCTTAGGTTTTTTTAGTTAGAACTGTTCAACGTGCAATGGCCTATAAACTTCGTTACTGCCTGTGTCGCCCATTCAATTTGTGCGTTCTCATTTCATCAGGGTAATTCTATGCAAAACTGAAGCGACTACCATGAGGCATGTATAACAAAATCTGTCTGTGACCGCCAAACGCTATAATAAGCCAGTTCTTAGTTAGCCAAGGGGTTGTGTGACGTTACAGGTCACCGGGTCATTTGTGACAAAAATCGATGATATCTCGAGTGCGGCGTGCGCTCTTGGTTCAGTACGTATGTGTACATGTATTCTGTGTACGTGTACTCGCACGTATGTGTACGTGTGCACACACACACACACACACACACGCACGTACCTGTACGGGCACACACGCACGCACGCACATGTACGTACACACGCACGCACGTACGCACACGTGCATACGCACGCACACGCACACGCACACACGTGTACGTGCACACGCGAAGACTGTAGCATTACGACACAGATGCATGCGTATGTGTACTGTACGGTCGAAATACGAAATATTTTGTCACAAATGACCTGGGGGCCGTTGTCAGAAACAAAATTAGTCTTAACATTAGTCTTAACATTAACTTCCACTTGTAAACCGTTGACAGAAACATCGCAAAGTTACGAGAATGAAAAATTCTCGAAAATATCCTCTTAACATTACGAGAGTCCAGACCCTCTCTTAACTTTAATATTAAGATGAAAATAACACATTTACACTACGAATCACAATTATAGTGATATTATATTTTATAATAATGAATAAAATGTGCCTTTCTTGAAAAACACGTCAAAATCATTAATTATCTACCGATCATAAAACAAAACAAAACATTTGCAAATGGCGTATGGCATTTGTTCTCTTGTTTTAATTGCCACGACTCTCGCGTCTCGTGTTACAGTGTGAGAATTTGTCTTGTTGTGCAGAATAAATTCATCATGAAATTCATGATCACGTCGTTTTTCATCAAATATTATTTATATGTGGTTAGCCATAATAGTATGCATAAATTACTGTGATGTACAATAAATGTTTATGAATTTGAATTTTGTGATCGATTATCATCCAATCAGCAGCCTTGTGATGAAGTTCCTGTTATCGTAAGTTTTCTAATAGCAGCGATGTGTTTCTGTCAACGCTCCTCTCGTAACATTAACATTAGTCGTAAGTGTTATCTTAGCATTAACATTAGCATTAACTTTACGATGTTTCTGACAACGGCCCCCTGAGCCGGAAGGATTCGTGGATAAGTTCGCGCATGCGCAGACTGTAACTGCGAACTGGCTTATTGCTGAAGCCACGGGGCGTCTCAGTAAACAACAATCGATCGGCATATACCACTAAAAACAAAAGAACCGCACGGCAGACAGATCAGCACAGACTAGGTTATTACTTGATTGGAGTTGATTCGTATGGCCGTTGGTAGCGGCCACATGATTGCCTCAATTTACATTCATATGGCGGTTTTAACGTGACATAACATGGGGTTGTCAAAGCTACGCGGCGAGGTGCTTTGTCGTAGAACACATTCAGTCATCTAGACATGCCACAAACTGTGCGATATAGTTTTACTCGCCCCCTTTAAATATCTCCGCCATGATGTTTTGTCTACGACTTGCACGAGATTTTGTGGTGGCTAATGATTTTTAAATGACGTCTAACAAACACGCGTGTATGCGATTTATTACTCATCTAATCTCGTTTTATCAGCTATATTATCAGTAGTAAAGAAAATTATCCTATTTCCCTATTCGAATACATATGTTTATGATAGTCACAGAACATGGTAGTAAACGTGTTGGAAAAAGTGATAATTCATATTGTATGTTTTTTACTATGCTTCGTGTGATTCAATTGAACATGACCTTGTTGAGTGCAATTTTGCCGTTTGTAGTAAGTTGCATTGTAGGTAGGTTCCATGACAGAAGCGGCAAAGGAAAAGGATGCATGAGAACAGAAATGTGGTGACTCACAAAATATCACTGCCACAATGGCATCTAAAGCATAATTAAATTTGCGTTTAATAATTTGGGTACGTCGTTATACCGCAACAGGTTGGTACATACTCACGCACGCACGGGCTCTCCCTGTGATAGCGTTGGCTCTCGATCAAGCTGTCTCCGCTGATCATGATCTAAGTGCTGCTGTTACACGCGTGATCTAGAGACGAAGAACGCCACGTTGTAGAACTATGCAGCATGTGAAAGTCGTGTCTTCAATACTATGTTTATATTATACGTAGGTGCTATGCATACGTTTGTAGCGCAATGATTGAATCCAGTACACTGAATAATTGTGTAGTTAGAACAGCACAACTGCAGATATGGCATGAGCAATGAGTTAAGCGTAAAATTAACTAGTATATATGCTAGTGGTCTTGGTCATGGTCGTTGCGGTTATATATGTGTGTGGCTGCGGTTTTGGTTTCGTTAATGGTAGTGGCAGTACTTATGCCTGTGGTTGTCATAATTGTAGTGGTGATCATAATCGCGTGTGTCGTGGTAGGCGCTGCATGCGTGCACGCGCACACACACATTTGCATCTCGTTCAGCGGGGGAAAAGTGCATCCTGGTCACAGGAACCCGTAGATCCGAACTTGTGGCTGGTTAGACTTCACAAGATCGATTCTACAGGTCTCTGTTGCTGCGGATCTGTTGTCACAATCAGCAGCACCGCCACCTAGGCAGGCTGCTGACGGCGTGAGCGTGGTTGTGGGCCTCGCACATGGAGTCTTACGTAGTCTGCAGCGTGGATCTCGTACTGCAGGGATCGTCGAGGAGGTTCTAGCCGCTCTTGTCTGTAATACGTCGCTGCACACCGCACACGCGCACGCACGCATGCACGCACACCCACAGCGTCTGCTGAGGTCATCAGCTGGAGGTTGCCGTGGTGATTTCGGTAATTGCCATTTTTAATGAAGGGCAGCGAGAAGAATGGCTTTACCCTGTGGAAGGTGGGGGAGGGGGGCATGCAACTTTCATCCGTTGTTGTATTGATATCCGCCTGCCACGTACGTCTGCGGTATCTGCACCTGGTATCTTAGTTCTAGCTGTCAACTAAATTACCTGCGTATGTTGGCCACGCATGGCATACTACACGGGCCTATTATAGTTAACATGAATGACTTGGCTGGAGGTAGGGAGCGTCGAAGAATTTGGCATGTGCCTGGGCTGAGGTAGTAGGTTGTATAGTTACATATTACATCATTATAGGAGAACTGTACAACTTGCTAACTTTCCCTTGGTCATGCACACTCGTCGAGGAAGAAAGGCCTGCTGACGCACATGATGAATCTGACAGAAATCTGACCCGAAACTGCAGAGTATATTATGATGGCGACAGCAAGGAAAGATAAGTGCGTACATACAGCACACCTGGAGGGATAATAGTTGCGTGGTATATCGCAAGCTGATACCGTTATAGATTTCTAGAATAACAACTATAGGGCTTCACAGCGTGGTCACGTCGTGTAGCATTGAGGACACTGTTCCATCGATGCGTCAGAACACTAATTAATTTTGATAATGTAAATCTCAAGGCTGCTGTGTCTATGCATGGTTAGTGTGCGCTGCACGGAAAATGACAGTCGGTATTCTTAGCGGAGTAGTCGCAGAAGGGAAAAATTCGAATGAAAGAAACGAATGTCCGAAGACATCTAGGAGCCTGCTCCCCATTCCCTGAGACCCTAACTTGTGAATCATCATAATGTGATCACAGGCGAGGCGCTCGGGAACCGGGTAGTCTGGGCAAGTCATCACCCTACCCCTGCACCCCTGCTGGGCAGTGAATAGCCGTCACGGACTCGATGATGCTTGAGGAAAAATTCGGACTTGCGTTAGTGTCCGAATGAAGACAAGATCAATTGTTAGGTAGCATGTGTATGTTATCAAATTCAGAACATAACAGTGAATGCGTTTTTATACATGGTGAAATTAGAATGTGTAAACGATACGTGTACATATTGTATTGTATTTACGTCGAGTACGCGGTACATTGTGATTGCCAGAGCACAGATGCGTATATGTTTGTGTTTCATTTTCAGGCGAGGATTGAAAAGTGTTTTTGTAATAGAAATTGTATACATTAATATTGTACAATAAAACTAAATATATATTTATAACTAATTTAGAAAAAATGGCTTTGAGTTATCGTGTAGGTCTTGTCACTTGATGTCGCGTGGCGCATATGACGAGTTGATTCAAAGCTTAATTGCTTCTATCACTTCTTGCTTATATATTCCTGTTATCACGTGTTATCGATGGCTGGGAGTTCTCATTGGCAACAGGCCGGCACAATGGTACTTGTGATGAAGGCTATGTAATATGTTACCGGTATCATACGAATTTGTAAAGTCGCACACTTAAAGGAATAATAGGCCCATTGATTATGCAAAGTTGACGAATGCTACAGTAACTGGCACCTTGTGTAGTTAATAAGTTCATTACCTTATAGCTAAACGCGTATTAGTTTGTCCAATATCACTGCTGGTTACTAAGATGTGTCTAATTGAAATCCGCAGTCAAAAAAATCAGTTGACTGATTTGTTTACAGTTTCGAAACCGCATACGGCGAAACGGGTGTGATACAGATTTATAGTGCACCGGA